CCGGAACGCGGCGGAACCGCGTTCCGGCACCTTTTTCCGGGCCGGCCGCACCGGAAATAGCCCCTCCCACACCGGAAATAGCCCCTCCCAAATTTTACTTGCATTCCTGTTCTCTAAAGGGGCGGTCCTAGGGTTTGATGAGGGCGTGGCCAGGTTTGAGTTCCGCCACCTTTTCTCCGAGAAAAAAAGCCCTGGCCTTATCAATGAGATGGGTGGCATATAAATTTAATAAATAAATGGGAATGTTCACCCCCTTCCAGAACCTAGCAACCTCCAGATATCAGGAAAGGGGGTTCAAATCAACCATCATTCAGTGGCTGAGATGTAAAGTTCTGTATCCTCACTGATAATATTTAACCCTGGATCACATATATAATCACATAAATAATCGTATAAATCACATAAATAATATTTAACCACTGGATCACATCCCCCACCAGTTTCAGCTAGATACTAAATAAAAGTGGGAAGAATATCAGGCCCTAAAAGAATCCTAAATCTAGGTCTTAAAGCTCCACATACACGCCAACTGGAATAACTCCTTCAAAAAAAAAAAAAGAGTGAGGGCAATAGAGTGCTCCTCATTCTCAGTCCTTGGAGATGATCCAGAACAATACAATGGTTGATGGTTACTAAATAGTCACTGAGGTCAAATAATATCAATGGGATTGCAACCCCCCTTCGTGGTCTTACCAAAAGTCACATTTAAGTATGACCAATGAACCTCAGTTCTACTCACAGACCTAAAATATATTAAAATGGTTCCATGCAATTCATTTATACCAGAACACTTTATACTGTAGCAAGAAATGTTGTAGATGCATCAATAATTTTCTAATATTTTGGGATCAAGCTATACTTCTGAAAGAGTAGAACACACTTCCTCAAGGCCTGTGGCATCTGTCATCACCTAAGAATGTATTCATCACACCTCCTACACTGAATCCTTGTTACCTTTTTGTCACCTCTCTTTTGTCTTGCATACTGATGCAGGTTTTTCTCCGATAATACTTTGTCAGCGACCATGACCTCTGCTTTTGTTGCTTTTCAGATATTATAAAAAACTATCTTCTTCATCTGGCAATAACATCATCAGTATCAAATGGCTCCAATGGGCCAATAGCAGTAACAGTGGTATTCACAAACATAATGCAAAAACTGCAATATAAGATATTCCACCTTATCATCCCCCAATTGCACCTTTATGACCATAAAAAAACTACATGTCATATTGGATTCAATGTTCTAGCCCTAGAGCAAGCTTCTAGACAATAGCAATTACTTAAGCATGTTTAGGAAAAGTACAACTCACCTTTCCTACTGGACATCCTCTCAGTAAAAATGGATAAGAGAAAAATTAGTAGGATGTGAAATGAAAGATTTCATGTAGTTTGTTGGCTTTTATAAGAACAATGAAATCAAAAAATTTTCAATAGCAGCCTGAAGTAAGTCCATAAAAACCATCAACATAATCAGAATCAGGTCAAATATCAACATCATATTATATTAATATTTTTAATAGTTGGTTTAACAGAATATTATTATGTCTATGAAACTTCACTACAAGAAATATTACTAATACATCATTAAGTATTAAAAATACCAGCAATTTCACTTAATATTGTGTTATAAGGCATGCATATTAATCATTTACTTACAAGAGACCCATCAATCCAAGCGTATTTTATGTCAGAATGCAAATATCTTAAACTAATCCAGCCTTTTTCTGATTCTGATCTAAAATATAATAATTAGCAAATACGTTAAATATGTTGATACATGTGTCTTGTTTAAATATAATACTGTAATTTTCTTATCTTGTTTTATTTTTCAAATACAGAACATAAGCATGTCTGCAAAACAATAATTCCCATAATTATCCAATAATTCTTAAACATGGCATACAGTATGTCCTTATGGTTTCAATATGAAAGCTACTTGAGTGGGAATAAATTTTGATGATTAGAATGGAATTTATTTAAGTAGTCATGTTTAAGATAATACTATAAGCCTAGTTACCTTATTGAGATGATGATGGTAATGATTATGACTGAATCTACACTTCTGATCATTCATGAGTATTACTGTTATTATAACCACTTAAGGACTTTTTAATATATAAATGGTAATGTCTTACCCAATGAGTTATTAATATAAAATTAAGTATTGGATCTCTGAATCAAAGTAGAGTGCCCTTCACGTGATCTTGATTCTATCCGTTAATGCAGACTAGCACTGTTTTGAATATATGGGATATTATAAAGTTTACACTAGTTATATATTCCATGATGATGACTTCAGTGTTCCAATAAACCCTTTGCTAGGAGTGTTTCTGCCTTGAGATATAAGAAATAAGCAGTTTATTATACTCACAGTTGGTTTAGTAAGCGTTCCTCTGCTTGATTATGAAAAGAAGCCAGTTCTCCTCCAATTAATTTACAAAAGTCATATGCCTCATACCAAGATTTCCTTTCAGCTTTCTTCTTTTGATAGGCCTAAAAGCATATAAATATATCTCATTACAAACGACTATTAACTCTGTAGTATAACCCTTATGGTTATTACTTAATAATCTTTTCAAATAACCCTCCAACTTTCATATTTTCACTAGTATTTAGATTAATCTTTCTAACCCATTGATGTTAAAGAAAATGAGAAAGTTAAAGGATGATTTTTTTTTTTGCTGCTGCCATAACTACAGCTATGTAAATTATATGTACAGGAACATCTGATGGCTTTTCTGAGAAAAGGTGTAGACATTTCCCCATCTCCCATAGATGATGATGATGATGATGATAATGATGATGATGATGATGATGAGGAGGAGGAGGAGGAGGAGGAGGACGACAACAACAACAACAACAACAACTTTATTCCTGACTTCCTTTTGACTACCAAACATTTTTCAATCTCTTGGATAGTCCATCATCATTTGAGGATGGATATAGACCATTTTTGGAAACCCTGCCCTAAATCAGTTTTTGACTATTAAAGCTATATGACTGAGGATCAGATAGTCAGGCTATTTCCTTATGACTACTCCTTAAGAGTATTGTGTCAAAGGAATATAAGCTCCTCTTTATTACAATCCAATTAAAATTCAAGGCAGTAATATCAATGCCTGTAGCTCACCTTCAAACTAGTCTAAAGGAGAATTAGACAGCAGTGTAGTGGTCAAGGTATCAGGTTAGAAATCAGGAGACATTGCGTCTTGGTTTTTCCTTAAGTACCTGTTATGTCCTGAGCCTTGATTGACAGAGCAGGTGCAGGAAGCTGCACTGAGATCTGGGCAGACCACATGGTTTGCCCGGGCCAGACAGGCTGTCTCGGAGTTACTGAGCATGCTTTTGAGCGGGAAAATACATTGCATTCATTGGCTGACAATGCCCCAGGGTAAATGTATAAAAAGGGGTAGAGCCATTTTGTTCAGAGTTCTGTTAGCTGCAAATAAAGAAGAACCTATTTGTTACTCTGCCTCGTTCAATGCCTACCAATGCACAAAACAGAACATTGGCGATGAAGGTGGGACCATGCTGCGGAATATTCAAAGGCTGACTCACCAGGGAAAGCCTGCAAGCACTTAGAAGTGCAGCATTCCATGTTCCTTCCACTTTGCCTGCCAGTACGAAGTCGCTGGAGGAGAGTACAGCTAGGATAGCCCTGGAACCCCTTCGGAAGCCTGCACAGCATGAGGCGTTGAAAGAGGCTGCCAAAATTCACCATGGCGAAGATCGGTCGTCTCTCTGAATTCAATGTCACGCATCCTGAACGCTGGAGCTCCTATGTTGCCAGGGTGGAAAATTATTTCAGAGCCAACCATGTTCGGGAGGACGGACTGAAGGCCGCGACACTGCTGTGTGTTTGCGGTCAAGAGACTTTTGACTTTGCTGAAAACTTGGTTGCTCCAGCACCCTTGGAGTCCATTGCTTACGTGGAGCTTAAGAAAATGCTCAAAGAACATTTTGAGCTGAAGCTGTCGGTCATCGCTTGGTGACATGTTTTGAACAGCGGGACCAGCGTCCAGGAGAGTCTGCCACGGATTTCTGCTCTGCGTCAAGCTGCAAGGCCTTGCGAATTCAAGGATTTGGAAGAACAGCTACGGGATCAGCTAGTTTGCGGTCTGAGGAGCCGAGAACTTCAGCAAAAGATTTTTGCTAAGGAAACTGTCTCCTTCCAAGATGTGCTGAGGGAGATAATGGCTGAAGAAGCAGCAGGTGGAGCTGTTAAGGCCTTGTGGCTCTCGAAGAACCCTCCTTGCTTGGACACAGTCCATCAAGAGGTCGCTGAGAGGGTTGAAGAACCAGAATCAGACAACGAGGTTGATCATTTGCAACAACCAACAGAAAGAAGACCCCAAAGGCAAGCTGAAAAAAACCTTGACAAGACAGTTCCCTTCTCTCAGTGTTTCGGGTGTGGAGGCCGCCACAAACGTACCGACTGTTGTTTTCGTTCCGCTACTTGCCAGGCATGTGGCCAGCAAGGCCACATAGCTGCCGTCTGTTTGGGTCGCAAGAAAGACCGGCCATCAGAAGAGTTGCCTTGGAAAGGTACTGGGGTTCCCAGTCAGAACAGGGTGGGCTTTTGCACGACTAGAAGGAGTGTATGTAGAACCGGTGCCCACCGCACATTGAAAAAAAAGCTCCATCTTGAAGTCAAATTGCAGAGGGTTCCCTTTGACATGGAGTTGGACACGGGTTCAGCTCTGTCAATCATTTCCCAGAAAACCCTCAAACAAATTTGTTGCAGAAGTGGCCAAAGAGTTAAGCTCAGGCTGTCGAACATTATTTTGACGGATTTCCAGAATTCCCGAGTACATGTTAAGGGGGAAGCGACCCTCAGGGTGCAGTTTAGGGATTTTGAGGGCCCTTTGGACATTGTCGGAGTTGACGGTGACCGCACGAGTCTGATTGGACTCGATTGGTTTGAGGCGCTTGGAATTCAGGTGACTGGGTTACACAGTCTTCAATCGGCAAATCTTGCGGAGGTGTGCAAGGAGTTTGCTGATGTGTTCAGCCCTGAGCTAGGGGCATACAAGGGGCCTCAAATTGCCTTAAGGTTAGACCCCTCCATTGCACCAATCAGGATTTAAGCCTCGTTGGGTGCCTTTTGCCCTTAAACAAAAGATCAATGCTGAGCTGGATAAATTGCTGCAGCAAGGCATTTTGGAACCTGTAGATAGTAGTCCATGGGAAACACCCATTGTCACACCACTTAAGGCCAATGGAGAAGTCCGCATTTGTGCGGACTATAAATGCACGCTAAACAAAGCGTTACAGCAGCATTCCTATCCGGTGCCTGTAGTGAGCCACATTTTGGCGTCTCTACAGGGAGGTCAGATTTTTGTCAAACTAGATTTGGCTCAGGCCTATCAGCAGCTGCCAGTGGACAATGCCACTGCAGAGGCTCAAATGATTGTGATTCACCAGAGAGCCTTCAAGGTCCGAAGACTACAGTTTGGGGTAAACATAGCCCCTAGCATCTTCCAAAGCATGATGGAGTGAACGCTCCGTAACATTCCAGGTGTATGCCCATATTTTGATGATGTCCTCATCGCTGGGGAATCAGTTGAAAACCTGTCTGACAGGCTCCGGGCCGTTTTGCAGCATTTCTGTGAAGCGGGGCTGAAGCTCAAACAGGAGAAATGCAAAATTGGAGTAACTTCCACAGAATTCCTGGGGTTTTGCATAGATGCCGAAAGCATCCATCCTGCTGAATCTAAGCTCAAGTCGATTCAGCAGGCCCCAAGTCCCAAGTCGAAGAGCGAGCTTCAAGCTTTCCTTGGACTTCTAAATTTTTACCATTCATTTCTCCCCCACAAGGCCACAGTGGCAGAGCCATTACATCGGCTCTTGGACAAACAAGCTCCATGGAAGCGGACAAAAGTCCATAAAAAGAGTTTTGCTGAGGTCAAACATTGTTGTCTTCCAATGCAGTTTTGGCTCATTTCAATGAGCAGTTGCCAGTTAGCATAGCTTGCGATGCATCCACTTATGGGATTGGGGCTGACTTAAGTCATCTTAAGTCACTTGTGTCATGATGGGACACAAGTCCTTGTAGCCTATTACTTTAGGACTCTGTCTACTGCTGAATGCAATTACGTGCAAATAGATAGAGAGGCCTTGGTCATTGTGGCTGGTATCAAGAAGTTTCATGACTTTTTGTATGGTCGCCATTTCACGGTCTTCACGGACCACAAGCCGCTCCTGGGGTTGTTCACGACGAACAAACAGACGCCCCAAATCATCTCTTTTAGAATGTTGAGATGGTCAATATTTCTGTCTGCTTATGACTACTGCCTGGTTCACAAACCGGGTAAAGAGATGGGCCACGCTGACGGTCTTAGTAGGTTGCCTCTACAGCTATTAGAGTCGGATCCTACCCCGGCCAACCACATCCTGGCTATCCAGGATTTGCCGGAGTCTCCCCTCAAGGCAGGGGATGTGGCTGCAGAAACAGCCACCGACAACACGTTAACACATGTGTTGAACTGGGTGTTGTCAGGATGGCCTGACATGTGTCCTGGCACTAATTTCCAGAGGTTTTGGAAAAGGAAACATGAGTTATCCACTTTTAAGGTTTGTGTCCTGTGGGGCAGTAGGATAGTGATCCCGACCTCACTGAGGACTAGGGTCTTGACTTCCTTGCATGAGGGACATCCGGGCATAGTCCAGATGAAGGCGCTTGCGCGCAGCTACCTCTGGTAGCCTGGGCTCAATAAAGAGATCGAGGCCCAGGTCCAAGAGTGCCACATTTGCCAGCAGTCCAGGCCCGAAATGCCACAGGCTCCCTTTCATAGATGGGAGACCACACATGCTCCTTGGTCAAGGGTTCATATCGACCAAGGAGGCCCCTTTCAGGGGCAGCTCTTCCTCATTGGGGTGGACAGTCACTCCAAATGGCTGGAGATCATTCCAGTGTCCACTATGATGACTGCCAGGACCATCCAGGTTTTGATTTGATCGTGAATCTCAGTCTCTCAGTGAAAGCGGGACATCGCATTCGCCAAATGGGGTTTTTGCCAACGAGATGGCTCCTAACTCGGGCACTGCATCCATGGGACATTGCCCTCAATCGGCTTTTCACGCCGAATCTACCTCAGGCCTTGCGCCAACGGGACAGTGCTCCCAGCCAGCTGTTTATGCCGATCCAGGGAATTCCACCTCATCAAGGAACTCTGGTTTGGGTCTACTAAAGTAGGCCAGCCTTCACGATCCGGTTTCACCCATATTGAATGGGTCTCAAAGTCCCGGTCTGCCGAGCCTGGCCAGCAAGCTTGCAGATCGGGTGCTAGCAGCAGCTCTGAGACGATTGGAGCGGGCCAAAGACCCACCGAAGTTCTTAAAGGACTATGTGAGGTTTCTGTCTTTGCAACCATAAAATGCTTTTGTATTTTATTGCAATTGAAAAGCTTGTGTATGTATTTTGGGAACTGACTTATTTTGTGCTATGATGTGTGTATGGGGAATGTTGAATACATTCCTTGTAAAAGAGTTTCAATTAATATTATGATTTTGATTTGTGAAAAAGACCTATAATTATTGATTGTTTAAATGGACATTGTGGGAGAATGCTTGTAGTATTGTAAAATAGTAAGTCTCTCCTTCTGAACCAGGAGGGGAGGGATGTTATGTCCTGGGCCTTGATTGACAAAGCAGGTGCAGGAAGCTGCACTGAGACCCGGGCAGACCACGTGGTTTTCCTGGACCAGACAGGCTATCTCCGAGTTACTGAGCATGCATTTGAGCGGGAAAATACATTGCATTCATTGGCTGACAACGCCCCAGGGTAAATGTATAAAAAGGGGCAGAGCCATTTTGTTCAGAGTTCTGTTAGCTGCAAATAAAGAAGTACCTGTTTGTTACTCTGCCTCGTTCAATGCCTACCAACGCGCGAAACAGAACAGTACCGGTACAAAACCACCTGGGAAACTATGGGCCTGTCATTCCCTCTCAGCCATAGGAAGGAGGCAGTGGCAAGCCATTTATGAAAAAAATTGCCAAAAAACTGCAGTGACAATCTCTGAGAATCAATAGAATGGAATAATAATAATAATAATAATAATAATAATAATAATAATAATAATAATAATAATGATGATGATGATGATGATGATGATGATGATGATGATAATAATAATAATAATAATAATAATAATAATAATAATAATAATAAACAAAAAAAACAAAAAAACAGTATTTATGACAAATCCAAGCAAATGTAGTTGTGAAGAGTTTAAAATGTATGAAGCAGTACTACTTCTTGGATGATTCAAAGTTGACTGCAAGAAAAGTGCCAACTTCTAATGATTCTATTAGGGCTATAACTGTCTTAGACTTGTTCAATAATAATAGTTGTCATCTTGTTCAAATTGGCTAGCGCAGTATTTCTTGGGGCCCAGTATCCCAGGATGGCTCAAGAAAATGAATGGGGATTTCAAAGATCTGCTGGCTGTAAAGGAATAACAGAATAACAGTTGGAAGGGGCCTTGGAGGTCTTTTAGTCCACCCCACTGCACAAGCAGAAGATCCTATACCATTCTGGACAAATAGCTACTCAATCTCTTCTTAAAAACTTCCAGTGATAGAGCACCCACAACTTTTGAAGACAACTCTTCCACTGGTTAATTGTTCTCACTGTTAGAAAGTTTTTCCTTAATTCCTTGATTAGTTTCCATCCATTGTTTCTTATCTTGCCTTCTTCTGCTTTGGAAAATAGGATGATCTTGTCTTCTTTATGGTAGCCTTCAAATACTGGAACATTGCTATCATGTCACCCCAGTCCTTCTTTTCACTAGACTAGACATACCAATTGCTACAACTATTCTTCATATGTTTTAGCGTCTACCCCCCTAACTTTTTTCCAGACTCTTAACATTTTTTTAAAAAAATTGTGGCAACAAAAACTGGATGCACTGTTCCAAGTGTGGTCTTTCCAAGGCATTATAAAGCTGAACACTTCTCATAATCTTGAGTCTATCCCTCTATTAATGCAGCCTAGGATTGCATTGGCTCATTTGGCTGCTGCAGCACCATTGCTGGCTTATATTTAAGTGATTGTCCACTAGGACTCCAAGATCTCTGCTAGGAGCTTGTACCACCTATTCTATACCTGTACATTTGGTTTTTCTTGTCTAAGTGTAAAACCTTACTTTTATCTACATTGAATTTCATTTTGTTAGATAGGGCTCAGTGTTCAAGTCTATCAAAAACATTCTGGATCTTGAGCCTATCTTTTAGAGTGTTGGCTATTCCTGACACTGGTGTCATCTGCAAATTTGGTGAGTTCCCTTTCTACTCATCTAAATTGTTTATGAAGACATTGAAGAGTACTGAGCCTGAGAAAGAGCCTCAGGGTACTCCACTGCTTACTTCCCTCCATGCAGATATAGTTCCATTAAGGACTACACAATGAGTGTGGTTTATCAGCCAGTTAAAAATCCATCTAGTGGTGATGCTATCTATCCTACATTTTTCTAACTTACCTAAGAAATAGATTGTGGTCTACTTTGTCAAATGTCTTGCTGAAATCCAAGTATACTATATCCACTAAATTCATTGGTTCACTAATTTAATCACTTTGTTAAAGAATGAAATAAGATTTGTTTAGCATGATCTGTTTTTGACAGCATAACAAAAGCCATGTTGGCTTCTGGTTATAACTTAGCTTGCTTCTAGGGTATTCGCAGATCTGTTGCTTGATTATGTTTTCCAGGATCTCCCTAGGTATTGATGTAAAGCTGAGTGGTCTGTAGTTTTCTGATCCATTTTTCTGCCTTTTTTGAAAATGGGAACCATAGCAGCTCTCTTCTAGTCGTTTCCCAGAGCTCCAGGATCTTTGAAAGATATAGTTCAATGGTGTCAGGATCACATGTGCCAGGTTGTTCAGAACTCTGGAATGTAATCCATCTTTCCTATTTTAATCTGTATTCCTATTCTGTGTTTTAAGGTTCTGTTTTTGGTAGATTGCACTATTTTCCCCCTTTTGTGTGAAGACAGATGAAAAGAATGAATTAAGCAACTCTGCTTTCTCCCTGCTGCTCATCAATTCTTTGCAATCTTCTCATTAGCGGACTGATTGTTTCCTTGACCTTATGTGTTGATAAAAACTTTCTATTACTATTATTTTTGACATTTGTTGCGAGTCATGTTCCAGAATGCTAGAAACTGGAACATGATCGGTTTCCAGCATTCTCTATGATGCCTTCCTTGTTCTTCCAATCATTGTATTTCCTTTTCAGAGGAAGCTTAATCATAGCTGAAGAGCACCAAATTCCCTCTGGAAGGGAAGGAAGAAGAAACTGTGATGCCAGCCCCTGTTGCAGAGTTTGCCTCTTGACCTGGCCTGACCTGGTTGAACAAGCAAATGCTTCAACTCCAACACTGGCTGACCCACCTTGAAGCAGACACTCCTCATTGGACTTGCAGTCCATCCTTCAGGACATGGGGGAGGGGAGGTCGCTCTCGGGATTGGAGGAGGTGTCACCCCTTCGGCCAATTGCTTACAAAGGAAGGGGGCCCTTTCCTCACAGTTCACAACATCCCACAGTCCAGCAGCATCTCCTGTTCTCATGGCAATGCAGCCGGGATTTGGGCCTGGCAGAATGGATGACAAAAGCCAGTTAAATTTAATGTATCTCCATATACAAGCTAAACAGGATGAAAGTTTTCCTGCCAGGATGCATTTGCTCTGACAGACTCCATACCAGGCATTTTTGCATTCCAGTGAGTGAATTGAATGGGGTCTCCATTGGTCCAGTTGAAAATCCCTGGATTCCCTACATCTGACAGGCCGATCCAGAAATATTTTTCAGGACGGTATCCAATCTGGCTAGTCAGGAAGGCCTGCTCAAATCTGTGGTAAAAATAATTCAGATCAGGATGGTCTCTGATTTTCCCCATTTTTAGATTTTACGGATGGCTAATCTTAGTTCCAGTTTACACTTTTACCAGTCACCTCAAAAAATGTGGGGAAAACAGGAGGCAGGAATATCTATATATTAAAAAGGTGGGATAAAATTATCATTATTATCATCCTTTCATATCTAGAAGTTTAACATCTTTTACAAACTCCTGATCAGAGCTAGGGAAGTATGCTTCCATGACTTTTGCTAATGCCAGCAGTTGAATATTTCTTATAACAAAGACTATAGGGCAGTGTTCTCTTGAAGGGTTAGGATAAGGCAGGTCTCCATTTTACTTAGGTCTCTTAGTAAATGCTGCCTGAGGTAAGTATGAGTATGGCCAATGATAGGGCCTGCCCATTCCCTGCTACAATTAAAAATGTCATGTGGTAGCTCTCTAGACTTAGTCTGACCAGTTAGTTGCTAGTTACAGTTATATCATAACATTCTCCCAACCTTGGCAGTTTTAAGATTGTGGACTTCAACTCCCCAAATCCCCCAGCTTTCTGTTTAGAGTATTCTGAGAGTTGAAGTTTACATATCTTAGGGTTGCTGAGTTTGGGAAACAATACAGCAGTCGTCTCCATACTTTTATGATCACACATCCTTATCAAAAGAAAAATTAACCATGTAATTCAATTCAACTACGTTTATTTATTTATAAATTATATCTATACTATTTTACTAGTGTATTATGTGCATTATAAAACATAACCCCAAATATATATTATATTTTATATATACTGTATATTAAGTTTTAGTTGCTATTTTTTATTTTTGAGAAAAAATAGACATCCTAATATTTTCTCCTTGCACAAAAATGGATCAAGTGTATACAAATTGGAGAGCACTGCTTCAAATAATTCTTCATAGCATACTAATATAGCATTTCTATGTGGAACATTGTAAAGATATTTAGTTTTGTCCCTTTCACCATATTTTACCTATTTTCCACAGAGCTCAGAAATCCTTGGTTTGTTTCACAAGATGTCTTTGCTTCTGAAAATGTTCCAGGTGTCTTCCCAATTAAGTAACAATAGAAACCATACCTTTTCCAGCCCTGTTGACATAGCATACATACACATATAGAGCTATATTAGCCTGAATTTATTGATTTATTTCTCACATTTTCATTATGCTCCAATCCAAAGATTCTCAGATTCACCAAGTTATCTTGATCAAAGGACAATTTTTAAATTTTTTAATGTTTATATTTTATGTGGTACAGAGTGATAGTCCCACTATTCTACCTTTTGAACCAAGCATCAAAAAGATGCTGTGAAATCAATAAATTTGAATATATGTAAATTCATAGCATTCCCATTCAGTATCTATATCTTTAGATTTGCTTAATTTTGTAAGAACATTTCTGAAATTTGGATGTCCATCAAATAAGCATTTATGACCTGTTATGCTATCTCTTGGTCAGTTTTCAGATTCAGTTCAATTCATAAAAAATATATCAAAATGTATTCTTTCTGCTAAGCCATTGCCTCAGGTAGTTTTTTCTTCTTCTTTTATCATATAGTAAAGATGAAAAACTTGCCTTCTTATAATATTGCAGAGAAAACTCTTTCTAACTATGTGGTTCTTAAGAGTCAATACCAATATTAGGAGTGGAGGGGAATGATCATTTCAAGGCAAAATTAGCTTTCTGGTTGGTATGCCCAAAATTTCATAACAAAATAAATAGATCAAGATCAAGAGCTACAAAAATTTTTAGGCTTACTTTTTGGCATTTTGGATCAGCAACTTCATCTGTTCCAGGAAGAAATTCTGAAGGTTTTTTTTTACAGATGTATCCTAGTTCCTCTTCACAGAAATAATCTGCCCAGTATCCATTCTGAGGATGGAAAGGGGAACAAACTTTACTCAAAAGGAATCCATTACTTTTACCTCTTCCTATTTTTTGATGATTTATATCATTTTTGCTTTTTTATGAGCTGGACTAATGCACAATGCTTGTTATAGTTGCATTTATCTAAAACCTTGAATGCCTGTCTGTTTGTTTGGGAGCCCTCAGGGTCTTCTCTAATTACAAAGTTATAGAGGAAGCCAAAAATAGGCTTTATGTTGCTTTTTTAAATCAAGATTTTTTTCCCAGAACAATGTTCATCACTGTGAATAACCTTGCTTACTTTATACAGTTAATCTATTTATTGCTATCTTCTGTTTTCCCCAAATTACTAAGTGATGTCCTTACAAATCAAATTAATAAAATTTGCTCAGCAACCCAACAAGCAAATATTAATAACAAAAAAGCAATACAACAATATATTTAAAATAATTAAAACATTATTTTAATGTTTAAATTTCTATATATCTAGAAATTTCAGATATATTACAGTAGAATAACCAGACTTTACATTAATCCACTAACCAAATAAAAAACCTCTAACTCCCTTTAAAGGCTCTTAAATGGGAGATTTCTGAAAATAGCATTTCTTAAGTGTCGTCATAAGACCCCTATATCCACAAAATCAGAATTATTTGTCAACATACACTGAAAAATAACAGAATATTAAATTCCATCCACAATTGTGAGACATGGTAACAGCAGAAAATGTGTCAATTTTAATTTATAATATGATAAACATCAGTAACTCGTAGAAGTAAAAGTTCTTTAGGGATTCTCCATAATTTTTAAAAGTGGAAAGTATGCTTGAAAGGAAGAAGTTTAAGAAACTTTGATCTATGGAATAAATTATGTTATGGAAGAATAGGTTGCATCAAACAAATTTATAGACAGAAATTTCACCACAGAAAGAACTGAAAAGGAAAAAAATCTCCACTAGACAATTAAGGATTCTTATTGTTACCTCCCCACTCATGATGACACAGTCTTCTTGCACATCGCTTATAAGGTTGGGTTCTCCTTTCTGCCATTTGATGAATCTCACTGTAGTACCATCACTCCATTCAAAATATGAAGTCGTCTTCTTGTCATTTAGGCCTATCCACAAATTATCTGTTGGTTCTAAAAAGACAAATTCATTTTATTCATTTGCTCTCAAATGTAATGAATGAAGTCCAGAGGTTGTATATAATCCCAGAGCCCACAGCACTCTGTGCTATGTTGGTTGGAATTAAGTGAGTCTATGTGTGAAAAAATTGCTTGGCAAATGTCTGTGCTAATCTGCTGGGGATGTATGCAACAGTTATAGTAGATTTTTTACAAATATTTTAAGACCTAAATAAATACTCTCTATTTTTTTGTTGTGATAGCAGCCTCAGCAGTTATTCATTTCTTTTCCTGGCATCTATGTACCCACAGAATATAGGAAACAGGAAATAAACCTTCTAAATATACTTACTGTAGCCAAGTTGGGAAAAAACAAAGCTGTATTCCTCAATGTCATGTATACTTAGTAAATGTGCACCATCCTTTTGGCAGGAGACTGAGGCATCCTTCCACGTTTTGCGATCTCTGTTCAGATGGTAACAGTGCTTTGCATATCCAACCCAGCCATCTGGACATTTAACTGGTTTCAGATCATCTAAAGAGACAGTAATTATATACAAACCATCAAGAAATCGAAGTGGAGGTAGGAGGAAAATCCTGATCTCATATTATGATGCAATTAATTCAATAAATGGAATTTAATAGAAGCAAATCTGACAATTCATATTAAAGAAGAGAGTAATTTGTCCATTGTCATAAGGGTATTTGCCAGAGGAGTCATCAAGATTTATTGTAATCAAATCTATTTTTTCAAATTAAATTTTCATGCACCAAGCAGATACTTTTTATGCCCTACATAAAAAAAACATTCTTTTTTACAGTGCATGTTAATTGGCATGACTATTTGTTAATCAGATTGTTGCTTTCCTTCAAAGTTTTCATCTTAATTGATAGAAATTTACAGGGAATAAACTTTTTAAAAATAAATTTGGCAGCAAACCTAAAACTATGCCAGTGAGTAGATAAATGTATATATAATTAGTAGAGGTAATCCTTAATTTACTACCACAGTTGGGCTGGATTTTGCTATTATGGCACAAATCATGGTTTGTGATTGCAGGACATAGCAACTGGTCATAAAGGCAAGCTAGTTGCCAAGTCCTTGAAGTACAGTTAAATGAATTCAGGAATGCAGGTGAGGGATGATTTGACATTTTATGATGGCTAGAGATGTTTTACAGCACCTGGGTTCTGGGTCTATCTTAATTTTGAATGATTATTAAGTAATTTGTCATAAGATGAGGACTGTCTGCAGTTTAGGATCTTTCTTATGCATGCTTACTTTAGTTATGAAAATCTTCAGGATTTTCTCATATAAGAGGTGTGCTGCATTTTATATTAATTTTTTTCTGAAATAAAACTGATGATAAATATATATTTTTTCTATTCCCACAGGTTCTTGAATAATCAGAATAATTATGAGAATTCAGCATCTCCCCCCTCCCCAGTTATAAAAAGTACATGTGTACACAGGAGTTTTAGACTGCCTTGCCTCCTGCCATTGGCTGGACCTCTTTGCCCTAAGCAAAATTGTTTCTGCATAAAGTCCATTCAGAATCTGAATCTTTGCATGTTCTCCACTTCAGGTAGATCTATTCTTTCATATTACTCTAGATCAGCAGTCCCCAATCTTTGCAGCTTGGTGGCCCAGCTGGGGGGAAGGAGAGGAGAACTGAGCTGAACAAGCATGCACATGCACATAGCCATTGCGCAAGTGACGGGCCGGCATACATGCATGCAACTCAATTTGCATGAGCAGCAGCTGGCGCATATGGGTGTGAGTGCCCACTGATCTGTAATTCATGCAGGTTCAGTGTGCATGCACATGTGCACTCTCAGCCAACCACTCACATGGCCCAATTCTGAATAGGTCATGGCCTGGTAGTGGACTGTGGCCCAGGCACTGGGGACCCCTGCTGTAGATAGATTACTCTGGGATCAAAACCCTCACTAGAAAAAGAATACAAAAATGTTATTTTGGATGTGAGTGCCGTGCATATCAGTGAAAGAATATTTATCCAGTTAATTTCCTGTTTACAACCTACCTGAAGAAGGTGCAGATGGCTGTATTGAAGAGTTCATTCTTTTACAGATGTATCCACATTTCTGTTCACACAGGCTATTTGCCCATTTGCCATTCCTACCCTGCATCAATCCACAGTTTTTTCCTGTTTCTAAAGAGGGGCTACCTGTAAGAGAGAGTGAGCCAGATTGTCCTATCACTGATGTCCAAGACGATAATATTTTTATCTGTAAACAAATCAAAACTGTTTTTCTGCCTTGTTCTTCAATTGTATCTCAAGAACAATGTATCTGTGGCTGTGCACCTATCATTTGGGCTAGGCATTGTATGTTCTATCCAATTAGCCACTGTGTGATTTCATAAGTTATGGAACCAATGGTGGCATGTGACATATGCTACTTTTCCTATTGTTCTAATGCTAACTATTAGAGCAGTGTAATGCTTTGAAAGGATGCTTCATTTCAACAAAGCTTCAGAGCAGTCCCTCAGAACAAGACAGTCAGCCGAAATGGTATTCTCCTTCGATGAACTGGATTGTAGTAGCTTCCTACCTTCAATCAGTCACCCTTTGAATCAGATCAAAGGGACCAGCCAGATCAAGTCTGTGTTGAGGCAGAACCATTTTTCCAGTCAAGGCACAGCTTCCCTATCAACTGTCATGAGTGACAGGAGTCAAGTGGCACATGATGAGGAATGGAGCCTCCTTGCACAGGCCTACAAACCCTACACAAGAGGATTATTACTCCATTCAGCTAAGCATGGCTACTGAGTCTCTTTTCAGAGTTTTCTGTCAGGATCGAGGGACTCTTCAGGGTGATGAAAAAAGTGAATGCGACTATACTGTAAAAAATGATGTTTATATATTTCTAATATACTTCATACAAGAATGCTAGCACACTTCTAGAGAAAGAGTCAATTAAATCAAAAACATAATAAATATTTCAATAATTTATATATGTATTAATCATTACAAAAAGGACTACAAAGTTTTGTTTTTAAATGCGGCTCTGATCTATTTAAGCAGAACTGTTTTGGATTGAACAATAAACATTTCCTTAATCTTAATATCCTTAAATGTTACACTTTTCTTTATGAAATACCTTCTAAGTATATACATTTACTCACCTGGAGCCCAATTTAAATATCTTAAAGGCTGGTCATTAGCCCACTGCCATCCACTATCAAAATCTGGGTTATTAAGACCAATCCAGTAGTTGGCTGCAAAGTTATTTGTTAATCCTATTTGAGAAAGAAAATCCACATAATGAGCAATTCTGCTGGTCTGAGGCTGAAGAGTAAATAGACAGACAGATACAGTGCAATTCAACCTGAATTAGAACTATCATCCAGGGAACTCTGGAAGTTTGGCATTCAAACAATCAACCATCAATAGTCACATAGAGATAAACCACATTTACACACCATTCAATTAAAAAGTTAAGAACGAAACAAACAAAAAAGAACATATCCTCTTCAGCTATCAATACCCAAATAAGATAGATTAATACCAAACAATTAAATAGAAAACAATACCATAATCTGGGAATTATCAAGGGGAAAACCATACTTCCACCTACACCGGTAGGGCAAAGTACTATGATAATCAGGGAGCAAATATCACACTGAGGATGTTGCCTAATTAGGTAATGAAATAATCACTATTAATAGTTATATATTAATGACAACTCAATCAGATAAACTTTCATCTTTGGATTCCAAATTCAGTTGATGTCGAAAAATTTGATCGTTGGAAGTGGATTATTCACGTAAGATTGTTTGAAAGCATCAAATATTTTTCAGAAGATAATTTCCCTGGAGGAAAAATGATGTTTCTTATATGAAGCTTTTAAAGTTGCTACTACAATTGAGAAAATATTAATTATCAGGAATGCCTTTAGAAGCCTTTTAAGAGATGTTTTGTTATGTGATACCTGTCAAATATGCTTGTTCATATAGTTCGTTGATGCTCAATAATTCTGAACGTTGTTGCTGACAGCTTTTTCTTGCTTCATCCCAGGTTAGAGCTGAGAGGGAATTGATCTGGTAGAGATCTCCTGTCCAGTGATTTTTGACCCAGAAAAAGTTATCGTTTTCATCTGTAAGTATCATAAAAAATAGAGGTATATGATTATGTAGTTGCAGTACTTTATTGGAAATTGTTGTTATAAAATTGGAAGACTCTGAGTGGATTGAAACAAGAAATTGGGATAAGGAGAAATGTCAACATATCATTATCAGTGATAATCATGATTTGATCAAAATTTGGGCCATAATTATAAAAGAACATTTAAATGCATCACAGTAATTGCTAAATTGTAGTTATTTCACATGGAAGAAGATAGTTAAAGCCTTACTATAAGGTCTGGGCTTCCAGAAATTTTCTGGAAGAAGAACTAGGGAACAGGGTATTATTAACAGGAGAAACTTGAACAAAGAAATTTGAAAGAACAATTCATAACAGAAACCAGTTATAAAAAAGTACTTCAGAGCAGAAAAGATTGCTCAGTGAATTCTTTAGGAACTGCCTGAAATGAGACCAGATAGAGTTCTGGCTTGAAAATAAGTCCATTAAAAGCTTATTTTTAGAGAAGATTCTCTTAAATAAAAAGGGCAAAACCAAACATGTAAGAGATAATATCTTTAAAAAATGATTAACTAATTTCATCAATTCTGTTCAGTTGTGATATTGATTCTATACATATTCCTCAATTTACTTCTATTCAATTAGAAAAGTTATTTTGGAGCATTTTTATAAATAAACTCAGGTTAAGGTGATTCTGATGGTAGGAAATTCAAGTAAACTAATGCTGATGTAGAAATACTATCATTAAGTTCTAATTTTCTGGGAAAAGTAAAAAGCTTTTTCTATGTGCACGGTGAAACAATCTATTGTAAAAGGCTTGTTTTTAATCATAGATATGTATGCTCCCTTGCATGAGAGTCAGTTTGGTATAGTGCTTAAAACACCAGGCTAAAAAGAAAAGATCATGAGTTCAAATTCCACCTTAGCCATGAAAGCCAGCATGGTGACTTTGGGTCAATCACTGTCTCTCAGCCCAATACACCTGTTGCTATAGAGAAAGTAATAATAATAATAATAATAATAATAATAATAATAATAATAATAAAGTTGGAAGGGACCTCGGAGGTCATCTAGTCCAACCTCCTGCTCAGGCAGGAAACCCTATACCATTTCGGACAAATGGCTGTCCAGTTTCTTCTTAAAAACTTCCAGTGTTGGTGCATTCACCGCTTCTGGAGGCAGGTTGTTCCACTGGTTAATTGTTCTAACTGTCAAGAAGTTTCTCCTTAGTTCTAGGTTGCTTCTCTCTTTGGTTAGTTTCCACCCGTTGCTTCTTGTCCTGCCTTCAGGTGCTTTGGAGAATAGCCTGACTCCCAAGGTGTGTTGTTATGTTTTCCACCTTGTGTTGTTTGTAAAAATAATAAAAGTGTGGTAGAAATAAATAAATAAATAAATCATCAAATAAGAGTTTACCTTTTACTGGACAATATCCAGTTAAAGAGTCTTTGTCCACATCTGGAGTTGTTCCACACCAAAGCCGTTTGTGGTCATCATCATTATTTATGCATTTAGCATACGATTTATTCATATATTTGAAAGGAAATACGCAAGGTGCTCCCAAGGCATTGCCTTCTATAGTGAACAGAGCTATTAAAAAATCAAACATATTCCTGTTAAATTGAGAAGTACTGAACTGAGAGTAGAAATACTATTCAAAAATATTTCAATATTTAGTTCTGAGGATTGGAAATTGTTTGCGTACAATACATGTAACCATGTTTACTTCACTCAGGGAACAATTTTCAGAGTTTATATCTTAGAATACATGCCATTTTTTTTCTCAGATGACTTAAAAGACAACACTACTATGTTAAAAGTAATAATATAATTTGAAATTATACATTTGCTATCCAATTTATTCCAATTTTCAGAAAAAGAAATTCAAAGAGAAAAAAAGAGAATTCAGGTAAGCAAATTCAGCAAGAAGAATTAATATTCTGATATTTACCTTCATATTTTTGGGCACAAAAGCTCCTCTTTGTTCCATAGATCTTCCAAACACTTTTTATGGTGGTTTTTTTTGATAGTATAACCCCATTCTCACGCCCATTAGCAGGATTTAAAAACAGGTCTTGTTTTGCAAGAGCAAGCAGCGTGTCGTTTCTGCATTCCCATTTCTGTAATTCAGTGGTTTTATTGCATGGGGACAGTGTAACTGGAACCATGTTTGTTTTTGAAGGCACACCCAGGCATAGCTTCACTGCCATATTTAATAAATGATAATCAGACACCCATTTAAAATTTTGCCAATCATTGTGCTTGTTACAGTTGTCGAAGGTGAAGGAACGAGATTCTTGAAGTTTTAGGCAAAGATCAAGATTTTCATTGTACATCAAAAAAGTGTCACTGTCTATAAAATGAACCAAATAATAATAGTAATAATAAATGTTGTATGTGTAATATATATATATATAATTTCCATAGAAAAGTATAGTTTTGTATGATTAGTTTCTTACTGCTTTATTAGTATGATTAGTTTCTTACTGCTTTTCCCACCTACTATACAATTTAAACACTGAACACTGAACACTGAACAAAAGATAACACTGAACACTGAACATTTAAACACTGAAATAATTCTATTGTATCACAGTTTTCATCAATTTAAATTTAGCACTTTCTATTAATTATTCTTACTATATATAATATACAAACAAGTAGATAAAAATACTTCTAAAATGTATAAAAATGCTTTATGATGTTAATTTCTGAAATATTATTTAGAAGCAATCGGTAATTATAAAGAATGCACCCATAGATTACTGTTTGGAAAATAACAGATAATAACTGAAAAACTGACTTTTTAACAGAATAAGAATAAATTAAATAAGAATAAATTAAACAATTGATATTTACACAATTGATTTAAATACATATATTTAAAAACAATTTAAGAAATGAATAACGCTTACCTGATATTTGAAAAACTGGTTGAATGAGAAATAAAATATGTAAGAACAAAAATAATATAGGCATTATAAACAATAAAACATTCCAGAAAACTACCCTGAAATTAAAAATCAACTGAGGTAGCTACTTTTCAGGAACTTCTTTATATATGAGAAAGAAGAAATTTTTACTTCTGTCTTCAGTCTTACGAAATGTGATTTTAATAAGGAAGACTATAAATAGTATTTGGCTTCTATGTAAAAGACCTATTAACATAGAAGTTTCTTCAGGAATTTACAGTTAACCATTATTCATACATCTATAATACATACTGTACATGTATATTAAATATTCCATTTGAGAATAAGAAACAGTATACCTGAAATGAAATACTATTTACTTAGTCAGTGACCAGCAAAATCTAAAATACTAGATCTACTGATAAGGAATTAAAGATAAACAATGAAAACTGCCCCCAACCTTTTTTGAATTGACTGAAATTTTAGGTTTGTTTTATATATGCTGATGTAAAAATGGACTTTTTTTTTCAGAGACATAAATCCATTTCTAGCATTGATATGAGAAGGATTACTAAAAATTTGGTTCACAAGACAAATAAAATTAATATTCTTCCAAAATCTTTTTTAAACCATAATCCAATGATGGTACACCTTAAATTCAGATTTCAGTCCTTTAAATGGAAACTAATTGAGTCTATTTTGCAGTGACCACAGCTTATCAAAGAATGAAAGCAAGTACTCCATGTTTTGTTTTAATAACAATTTAACCCAACAAAATATGAGAATATTTTATACAATATAATACACTGATTAAGAAGGAAATGGATGGAAAAATTCAAAAAGTGTTAGATGAAATTAAATTGAAGGAAAGAAAATTTCAGAAATCACCAGAAGATCGAAATATACTAAGTTCTGGGATAACTTGTTGCGGCCAACTCATCATGGCCAACTCACCACGGCCAACTCACTATGGGACAACTTGCTGCCAGACAATCCATTTAGGGTAACTCAATGGTTATCCACTATTGTTTCTTCTACATTATTTCCATTTTTATCGAAGAAACAGTGGCAGATAACATTTATTGCATTGAGTTATCCCACACAGAATTATCCCATGGCGATAAAGGCTATCTACCAACAACAATCAGCGCAAGTGTTAGTAAACGGAGGACTGACAGACTTAATTAAAATTGAGAAAGGTACGAGGCAAGGATGCCCTTTATCACCTTTATTGTTCATACTGACTTTGGAGATTTTATTAACACAGGTTCGTGAATCATCAATTATAAAAGGAATAACTTTGGGTAAGAATGACTACAAGCTTAGAGCTTTTGCTGATGACTTGGTTTTTACCTTATTGCAACCGATTGATTCTACAAGACATCTGATACAGATTCTGACACAGTATGGGAAAGTTTCGGGATTTAAAGTAAATAATAATAAGACTAAAATATTATCTAAAAATATGCTTTTGAAAGATAAAGAGACTTTAAGTAACTTAACTGGTTTTGAAATAGTGAAAAAGGTGAAGTACTTGGGTGTTTATATTACTGCCTCTAATGTTAAATTGTATAAAAATAATTATGATAAGTTATGGATAAGAGTTCAAAAGGATTTAAATGATTGGGAAAAGTTACATTTGTCATTATTAGGGAGAATTTCGGTGGTTAAAATGAATGTCCTTCCTAAGTTTCTTTTTTTGTTTCAGATGATACCTATTTTAAAAAAGGATTTAAATTTGGAAGAGTGGCAAAGAGGTGTTAATAGGTTCATCTGGCAGGGGAAAAAACCGAGGGTTAAATTTAAAATTCTGCAAGATGCACGGGAAAGAGGGGGACTTAAAGCCCCAAACTTAAAATTATATTATGATGCGGTGGTTTTAACTTGGATTAGTGATTGGATTAATTTAACTAATAGAGATATATTGATTCTTGAAGGTTGGGATTTATTTTATGGATGACATGCTTATTTATTTTTTGACAAGAAAGTTGATCATGTTTTTAGGTCTCACATTTTAAGAACTGCACTTTTGAAAGTTTGGAAAAAGTATCATTATAAGTTAAGTTTTAAAATCCCAATGTGGCCCATTCCGGAACATGCAATACAAGGAATTATAAGGGGAGTTAAACTAAAGGGAATTGTGTAGAAGGATCTACTTACTTTAAGGGGACAGGACTGGCAAATTAAATTATTGGATGAATTGAGACAAGATAATATTCTCCAGTCCTGGTTCCTATATAGCCAGTTGGTGGAGAGATGGCGTATAGATCAAAAGTCAGGCTTGGCATTAGAAGATGTGAACTTGATAAGACAGATTAAAGATCAAAGCAGAGCTCATATTAGGAGAATATATAGTGTTTTGATAGAGCTTGATTCGGAAACAGAATTAGTTAAAGATTGTATGATTAAATGGGCTCAAAATATTCAAAAGCCAATCATGCTAGAAACAAGGGAAATAATTTGGGTAAGAAATGTCAAGTTCACTCAAGCACAGAATTTAAGGGAGAATTTTTATAAAATGTTTTATAGATGGCATTTGGACCCTCAAAAACTGTCTTGCATGTATCCGAACTTGCAGCCAAAATGTTGGAGATGTGGTAATTTGGATGCAACTTATTATCATATTTGGTGGACTTGTAGGGATGTTAAAGCCTTTTGGATTAAGATTTGGTGGAATCTTCAACAGATTTTTAAGAAGAAGATAAAATTTACACCGCAATTATTTCTATTGGGCATTATGGACAATCTGGACTCAAAAGAAATGAATTTGATGTTGTACTGTATAACAGCAGCAAGGACATTGATTGCTCAAAATTGGAAAAAGGAGACATTACCGAATATGGATGATTGGAGACAGAAAGTTTCATATTTTGCAAAAATATCCGCATACCTGAAGGATCAATATCAAGAGAAATTTATTTTGGTATGGAGAAGATGGATAGATTATATTCAGAGAAAATATAAAATGAACAATTATTATATAGCTTTTGATTAATTATTGTTACTTATAAATATTTTTATATATAATTTACATATATAATTCACAGTTAAGGTGATTGTATGTTAGAGTTAAAGTAAGTTTATACTTGTTTATATTATGAATGGGTTGTTTGGGTTAAACCTGGATTACTATATGCTTAATCCTGTACTCAGCTCTGGGAAGTCGGGGGGGGAGGGGGGAAGGGGATTAGGGGACTGAAATTATAAAAATTGATGTATTTATATGTTATAGGTAAATAATAACTGTATTGAAAAGAGGAGATGCTCGGCTGGCACCCCAAACTGCACTCGAAGAGGCGGTTAAGAAGGGAGAGGGGATGTAGGTAGGTGGAAAGGAAAGGAGGAGAGGTTGTGGGATTAGAGGGAGGAAGGATAGGAAAGTGAATGAGGGTGGAGGCAAGGCGGGGCCTGCCGAGCGTCTCCGAAAATGTATTAGTTTGGATTATTTTTTTATTGCTTGTGTATGTAAATGCATCATATTGGTATTTGTTGTTTAATCACAAAAATCAATAAAAATTTTATTAAATTTTTTTTTAAAGTGGAATATAAATAAATAAATGGTGACCGCTAAAAAAAAAAAAGAATTATCCCATGGCGCATTGTCATGCAGAGAGTTGGTGTGATGAGTCGTCCTGTGGAGAGTTGGCTGTGGCAAGATGGCAGCAGTGAGATGGCTGCACTGGGTCGGCCATGGCAAGATAGGGCATTCAGCCTACAAGATTTTTTTTCATTTTCATTTTATTTGATTTATATCTCGCCCTTCTCCCAACGGGACTCAGGGCGGCTCACAACATATTTAAAACAAAACATACCCACAATCCCCGCCTAATAAAACCAAATTAAAACCAAATATTTTAGAGTTGTGGTATTAAAATTTTTCTAAAAAACCCAATTTAAAATCCTCCCTAGGCCAGGCCCGCTTGTTGGAAAAGCCATGTCTTGAGGGCGCGGCGGAAAGTAAGGAGATCCGGAATCATCCGGATCTCGGGGGGTAGTTCGTTCCAGAGGGCAGGGGCACCCACAGAGAAGGCCCTCCCCCTAGGGGTCGCCAGCCGACATTGCTTGGCCGACGGCACCCTGAGGAGACCCACTCTGTGGGAGCGTACCGGTCTATGGGAGGGAATCTGTGGCAGAAGGCGGTCTCGGAGGTAACCAGGTCCTATGCCATGGAGCGCTTTAAAGGTGGTAACTAACACCTTAAAGCGCACCCGGAAGGCCACTGGCAACCAGTGCAGCTCGC